CTGTGTGTGTGTGTGTGTGTGTGTGTGTGTGTGTGTGTGTGAGAGAGAGAGAGAGAGAGAGAGAGAGAGAGAGAGAGAGAGAGAGAGAGAGATTCCACAATATTTTGCCCAGTTTAGGATTTGTTGCATCTTGGATGAGATATTGTAATTAGCAAGCAACTTGGGTCACCAGAAAGAGATAGCTACCCTAGCTGTAGCAGCCATTGCTACCCAACTCCTATTTTAAATTGTGGTGAGGCTTTGCTCACAATGCCTTGTTCTGAGGACCTTTCAAAGACAAATCTTCAAGCAAGTTAAGGGAGATGACAGAGTCCTGGACCTAACCTATTGATCTTCTCAGTTGGTCATTTGAGGAACACACAAGACTTGATCACGCAGCCAAATGTTTTGACCAGCCTATGGTGCTGCATTATAGGTAATCCTTGACTGACAACTATAACCAACCCAAAAATTTCTGGCTTAATAGCAGTAACTGTGAGAGTCTTGGTGGACAATCAATTAAGCCAGCAGTGTGCAGCGGCAGCCCAAAAAGCCAGTGCAATCCTAAATTGCATTAACAAAAGGATACAGTCAAGATCAAGGGAGGTACTAATACCACTCTGTAAAGCCTTAGTAAAAACCACACTTAGAATACTGCATCCAGTTTTGGTCAAACACACCACACTATAAAAAATTGTTTAGACTCTAGAAAGAATCCAGAGAATAGTAGCAAAGATGATTAGGGGACTGGAATAATAATGAATGGAAACTGATCAAGGAGAGATTCAATCTAGAAATAAGGAGAAATTTTCTGACAGAGGGAACAATCAACCAAAGGAACAGCTTGCCTTCAGAAGTTGTGGGAGCTTCATCCCTGGAGGCTTTCAAGAAGAGACTGGACTGCCATCTATCAGAAATGGTGTAGGGTCTCCTGCTTGGGCAGGGGGTTGGACTAGATGACCTACGAAGTCCCTTCCAACTCTGTTATTCTATTATATTCTTCTCTACTCTATTCTACTCTACTCTACTCTATTCCATCAGCAGGATCTAACTTGACCTCTTCCTCTACTAAAACTGATTGGAGCTAACCCAGAAGAAAGGAGGAAGGAGCACCAGAAAGAGGCCAAATTTCTAGATTTTTTGTGTGCGGTTTTATAAATAACATAAATATATAAATATGGTGGTTTTTTGAAGACTGGGAATGGACTTAGGAAGATTTTTCACCAACGCCCAGATGTTTAAAATCCCACCCCACCAAAATCCAGAAACAAAGAGGACGCATTCCACTGGCATGATTTCATCACACTTCTGGGTAGGGACCCTGTGGAAATTTGAGGGTTGACATGTCTCCCATTTCCATTCCAAATCTATTTTGGCAGAAGTAACCCAAAATCATGCTGCTGAAAAACCAAAAAAACCCCACCAGGTTGCTTCCCATTTGCCATTGCCACAGATTTGCTCCCTGTTGTTTCAATCCTCAGCACCTGCT